ACTTTATGTCAAGGAAGAAAAGACCAAATGATTCACAGCCCATGGATGCACCCCACCAGACCAAAAGAACAATTTACACCCATTGTGTGAATCTCTCAACAGATCTACTATATCTTGAGCCGGTTGCAGATGTTGTTCCTGTTCCAATGAAGATGAACAGTTTACTGTCTCTTTGTTTAAAGACTATGGGACTGTGTCTGCCTGCTGGGGAGAATTCCATTAATAATGGTATTTTAGAGCCCATTGCAGGATTTACTGACTATTGCGAGACTGTGCTACTGGGCCTGTTCTGTACTATTGCGTATAACCCAAAGGAGAATATATTCACAGTTGACCACATAAAGTCTGCCTCTAAGCAGCTGAAAAGCTTTTTCCGAAAACACAAATACATGTATGGAGCAGTGACAGAGGAAATGCACGATGAGTGGAACCAAGTAATGGGGTGTCTATCAGATCCAAACATACAATATATGCGGCCAGACAGAAACCAGCTTGTGCCAGGAATAGTAAACATGCTGTATGTCATTAAAGAGATAGCAGGAGTGGGTGATACAGTGCAGATAGATGAGTTTAGAGAAAGACTAAAGAGGATAGAGGAGGAGCAGAAGGTCCAGGAAGTAAAACTTATTTATAGAAAACTTACAAAAGATGCAAACAATACAGAAGAAAAGAAAAATGAAATGAAATTACAAATATTAGGCGTGATTGATGTGAAAAGACTGAATAAAATAAGGGTCCTTGATGAGAAACTTAGAAAAGAAAAAAACAGAAAAGAAGCAGATGAAATCAAGCGAGAGATACACGAACTAATGGATATTGACTTGTTATATAAAAGTTATACTGAGCAAGAGGAGGTGCTGAAAACTGAACTAGAAAACAATATAAAAGAATATCTGACAGAAGTAATTACGAAAATTGCAATAGCTAAGGATGTCACTATTTCAATAGATTTCATGTTTAAAAAGACTGTTAAAGAAAGCTGTAGCGATGCATTTGCCGATTTAACCATACTTTATGGACATGCATCTTATCACCATTCTTTTAACGCTTTTTTTAGGTATAGCCCAAAAGTGATAGAAGTGAATTTTAGCATCACTTCTAATGGAATTGATGCGCCATGTCCAGTGGAGAACAAAATATCGGGGATATTTGAGAGAAAAGCGCCTATTCTAGAAATATATGAATTAGAGCGCAGTAGATATTATAAACCAACAAAGATGAAACAGGGCACACTTTTCTATGTGGATATAACCCGAGATTTGGACATAAATCTGCTTGATATTCTAATGCACATTCCAAAACACAAAATATATATTATATGGGCTCTGCTGCTACATGCAATAGACAGAAATCTTGACAGCGGCCACCCTTTTGTGCGCCTGGCAGATAACCTCCTGGAGAGTGCTCGCTTCATGTATATCGACCAAAAGAATGAAATGTTTATGCTGCTTAGCCTCATCTCAGTAGACAAGTACTATCCGCACATAACCATAGACGAGCATGCGTATGGAAATGAAGAATATTTTGCAGAAGTAATAGAGAATCTATTGGAGTTGGCAAACAGTGCAACACTTGTGTCCCGCAAAGTGTGTGCTGATATAATAACTAAACTAATGATTAAGTTGTTGAGGACTTTCCGGAGAGATAATGAATATTCAGAATTGAAGTGTTTTGCTAGAAGGCTCAATAATAGACCCGAAGCAAAATCTTTATTTGTCAAGATTTTGACACTGGATGGAACCACCGTGGAGTATATTGCTAGAATTGTTCAATCTACGCAGGGAATGGGAGATGAAGACCCCGCTGATGGTTGTAAGGGATACATTAATGTGTTTTTGATGTGGATTATTCAGAATACAATTGAATCTAAATGTAATTACTGGCAGGCTATAGTAAAAGGATGCTATGACTTAATTGACATAACAGAACTCAGAAAGAGAAATTTTAGTGATCTTTCTTCTTTATTCGGTCGTGCTACAGGTCTATTACCCGTGTTTAGATTCATAAAACCTATAGTGTGCGTTGAGCATGATGCAGAGAGCGTGGAAAGGTTTGGATCAATCAAAGAGCTATTTAATGAACTTGTGCATTGGTAAGAAAACTTTAATAAAGCTATTTAAAATTTGTGTGTTAAAACTTGCTGCATGTGAGTCTGTATAAATAGGCTGTTTTAAATATATTCTCTAAGAGAGCAGTAAGGAGCAGTAAATATAATTGTGATACAGCTAGCTTAGCTATACATAGCCATACTGTTAGTTGTTCACTATATGTTTGCTAAGTATAAAATATTTTAATTCTAGCTGTGCTATGTGAAGAAGCTTTGCACAAAGTACTTTAGCTTTAATTCTTTAGAAATAGTAGAGAAAAA